CTATACTGAATTTTATTGTTGTTAACAACCATTTGATCAATAAATATGAGAGATGCCCTCTCAAAAAAAAAATGTTAACATGGACAGATTTCTACCAAAAGAAAGTCAATGCACAGATTGAATATTATCTGTGAATTTCATTTCAGAATAGTAAGGGATGTTAGTAAATGGGCAATAGTAAAGGGGTGTTAACTGTATACTTGTTATAAAAAGGAAAGTATTAATTTCAAGGGTTTAGAACCACTAACACAAGAGATCCTCACATGAAAAGCCTTTCTACATTCTTTATAAAAGGTTATTGTTCTAGATATTGTTACATATAAGGTCCCTGGCCAGTGTCTGAATAAGGTGTAATAAATTCCTCTTGTAGTTCAGTGTTGTTAGCAAGTTTTGTTCTCATGACTATCCAGCAGTTAACCCCTTTTATTAGATAATGACAGGTGTGGGATTCATATATTTCCTTTTTTGCCTCCAGTGCCAGGAAGCTCACAGATAAGTTTTGCTGCTCAGTTGCAAGGATCACCCCTCACCTGGCACTTTGAGAATCATTACTTCTTCCCTCTCAGTTTGGTTTCCTTACAGGGCTCTCTATCGTTCTGTCAGTATTTACTTGTATCCACATCTTTCATTGTTTTTAAATCTTTTCTGTAAGGGCAGCATAAGTAAGTAATGCAAAACTCAAAAATGATGAACGTGCAGTTGCCTTCCCAACACTTCTGGAGTGTGGAAGTCCAGGCCAGGGGGCCTGGGAAGCCTGAGGCAGAGCGATTCCGGCAGGCTCAGCTGGTTGTGCATCGCAGATCCCATCTCCCAGATAGCTCTCCTCTCTGCCTTCAAAGGCCCTCAGCCCTTACTCCTGCTGGGGTGTGGGCCTTGTGAGGAGTAGAACTGGGCTGCAGCTGTGGCGGCTCATGCCAAGTCTTGGCTGGACCTTGGTAGTCTGGATCAAAGTGGGGGTTAGGGAAGGGCACACTGGCCCTGGGTTCAGGGAAACTCAAATCTCCAAAGACAGACTCTCCCTCCACACACACCCCTAGCATCATGTCTGAATCCCTCAGATCAGAAGCTTTGAAGCTCAGGCTGAGGATGCGACTGACCTCTTTCTGAACCCTGGGTCCACCAGCTCCTAGCGATGACACTGGCCAAGATACCCCTCTGAGCCTCAGTTTTCTCATTCAGAAACGGGAATGAAACTTCCCTTGAAGGGCTGTGGTGAAGACTCACTGAGATAGCCTGTGAGTTGCTAAGGCAGTGCTTGGAAGCCCACACAACAGCTCATCCCAGTCAGCCCTGAACTGGTGTTATTCGGGCACCTTCCCAGCCACCCCAGCGGAGAGAGCCTGGAGTCAAGAGTGTGCATTAAATCTCAGCTCCCCACTCATATGCTCAGTGACTGTGGCACAACTGCATAACCTTTATGAATCTCCATGTTCTTACAGTCGAGTGTGAATCATGTAAAAATCTTAATCATGATATAAGGGGTCATGGGGATGGCAGTGCAGCATGGAGAATATAGCAGTGGTTCTGTTATATGTCCCTATGTTAACAGATAGTAACAACAGTAGTTCAGGTGAGGATTTAATAATGTGCGGAACTGTTGAACCACTGTGTTGTAGACTTGAAACCAATATTCTACTGTGTATCAACTACACTTCAATAAAAAAAAATACACTTAAATAAAGGGGGAATCATGAAATGTGCCTCAAATTTGTGGTGTGAGTAAAATTATTAACAGTGGCTATTTTGTTGTAAGAGTATTATGAAAATGTACTGTATTTCATTTATACTCTTATGGGCATTTTCTGTTTTTTCTATAACAAATACAAATTATTTATGTATTTTAAATCACTTCAAAACATGCTTTTTCTAAAATAAAATACATTCAAAACATGCTTTTTCTAAAATAAAATACATATATTGAGTACTCAATACATTTTAGGCATTGCTCTCTGCATTTTAAATACATTATCTCATTGAATTCTCACAACAGCCCTCTGAAGAAGAGAGTATTTTCATCCCCCATTTTGTCAGTAAGAAAACCAAGCCTTAAAGGGCCTGAGCAATTTGCCCAGCTTGTTGTAAGTGAATCTGTATGTGTGGTAAAGTTTCATTACACTGTACACACACACAGACACACACACATAAAGACAAATGAGTGCATATAGAAACAAGTGAAATCTGAAAGGCCTGTATTCTAGTTGATACCGTACCTATGTCATTTTCCCAGCTTTAATATTGTACTATTGTTATGTAAGATGTTACCCTTGGGAGCAGCTGGATGGAAAGTACCAGCCCAGGAATGCTCTGCATTTTTTGCAACTTCTGTATGTCTTCGTCTACAATTATACTCACATCAATAGCTTAAAAATTAAATTAAACGTTTCCAAAAATTTAAAATGTTTAGAAAGCTTGTAAGGCTTAAATGAGATAATGTGCCTAGCACAGTGGTTGGATACAGTTGACATTTCAGTATATGGTATTTTCTTTCTTCCCTACTCTGGGAGTGACTATTTTCATAGTTGTATAATAATAACAGTGTTCCTTTATTGTGTTTACTATGTACAAGGCCTATGTTACATGCACTATCATTTAATAAAGTCTATGAAATGGGTACTTTTATTAATCCCCTTTTGCTGGTAAGAAAACGTAGGTTCTACGAAGATAAACCTCCTCTCCACTTGCTAGAAAGTGACCAGTCATGGATTTGCACCCAGGAAGTCTGTCTGTGACACGGCTCCCTTCCCCCTCAGGGTCTAGCTTAGTGTATTGCATAAAGGTAGTCTTTGAACCTTGGAAATCATCTACCACAACTGTCTCAGGTTACAGGTAAGAGAACAGGCTCAGAGGAAGGGCTCCGTTCAGAGATTTGCAGTAAGTGCGTGCCTGAACCAGGATGGGAGCTCAGCCTTCCAAGCCCCCTGCCAGGGTAATAATCTCCAGGGCTCCTTGCTGGGGCTTCTGACCCATACAGCACACATTCATCAGGCCCTGCCGGGAAGACTGCTGCTGCTCACATCCCTCAGGGCCCAGGGCAGAGAGGTGGAAATGAGGTCTGGGGAGAATGTGGGCATGATGGCCCTCTCCTGCAGGCAGCCCCGAGCCAGGGTAGGCGGGGCCACGGAGAGGGCAAGGGCGGACCCACCCGCTGAACTTTGGTAGGAGTGGGGATGGGGAGGGAGGGTGTGTGTGTGAGGGGGCATTCATGCCAAGGCCGTGCTCCTGTCCCCATCAGGCTCCCTTGAGTCACTTGCCCCTGAAGTTGGAGCACATTCTTGAAGGGGGTGGTCACAGGGATTCCAGGCCCTCTCAGGCCCTAGGCCAGTTTCTATTCCTCCTGAGAGTGAGACCAACTCCCCCTGTCGGACTCAGCACCTGGCTCCCGGGTGATTCGCTCCTTTAATTTCTGCCCTGGGACCTCCTAGGACTTGCAGCAAATCACTCCAAGTCCAGATCTGGGGTTGGTAGGTAGGGCCAGCCTGAGCCCCGTTTCTCCGGGAGCACAAGGGTCCCAGGTACCAAGTGGGATGACCCGCATTCCAGTGAGCCTGATTGGCCTCTCCTCCGATCCCTGTTGCTCTCCCCCAAATCCCATCCCGCCAGGCCCCTCCAAAGTCGGCCGGGGCAAGGGGAGGACAGGAACTCCTCCCTGACCTTCTGCCGTTTCCCAGCCTTGGCGGATCTGCGGGTGAGAGGGACCCCGCCGCTCCGCGCTCCCGGAGCCGAGGAAGCGACCAGGTCTGCGGGGAGCAGCGCCCCGGTGTGGCCTTCAGGAGAAGCGCAGCCCATTTCTCAGCCCCGCCCCTTCGGTGCTCTCATTGAAGAAGTATTTATTGAGGTGCTCCAGGGCGCAGCGGTGAAGAAGACAGATAAAATACCTGCTCCGTGAACGGTACATTCTGGTGTGTGTGGCGGGGAGGGGGGCGGGGCGGGGGAAGGCAGGCAATAAACGATAAACAAATAAATAAATGAGGCAGTTACTAGTAGTGATAACTACCAGGAAGAGAATGAAACAGAAATGCTATGGAGAAACTTAGGACTGGATAAAAAAGGAAAGTTTCCTTGCGTGGGTAACTGAGATAACACGGAGGCATCAAGGATCCAGTCACATGAAGATCTGGGGGGAAAGCTTTCCTTGCAGAGAGAAAAGCTACTGCAAAGACCGGCAGGCAGAAGGGACAGACTTGCCTGACAGATGAAGCTAGCTACCTGTGGCTGGAAGGGAGTGAGCAGGGGGAGCATGGCATGAGATATGGTCAGGGAGGTGGGCTGGGACCAGGTGCCAGATCTTATAGGCCATTGCAGAGTTTGATTTTTCTTCTAGGAGTTATGGGAATGTACTGGGTGAATTTTGAGCAGCAGTGTAATGTGGCTTGATTGCCTTTTAAAAAGACCCCTGTTGCTGCTGTGTGGAGAACAGACTTTGGGAAAGAAGGGAAGAGTGGAAACAGATATTTCAAGAGATTGGTAAAGCATTGAAATAATTCAGGGGAGACATGACGGTGGACAGGGTGGGGAGATGTGGTTGGATTCTCAGTATATTTTGAAGGTAGAGCCAAGACTTGCTAATAGGTGATGTTCTCCTTTGCTCATTTAGCTCCAGGAACTTCAAACACACACCCTGGTTGGCTCCGCCATCCTCACTGGGGGCTGACTTAGAGGGGCTGACCCCAGGGACACAGCTAAATTGGGGAGTTTACAGGTGTTGTTGGACAGAGGAATTTAATACTCAGACATTGTGTTCTCCATGAACTGCCTTCACTTTTTATCATTAGCCTATTTAATGGACAGGAATGCTGCCTGTTCTCTCCCTTATCCTGCCTGGCTTCTATAGCCCTATTTATTTATTAGGTCTCTGTTTGTCCAAATGGGTGTTGGTGACACCCAAAACATTCCTGGGTGTTTGGTATTTGTAATTGATACAGAATTGGAGACAGTATAATCTGGGGAAGTCAGTCCTCAGACCCAGGCTAGTAACTTACTCTTGTTAATTTACACAAAACACAGTGGGGCCAGACCTGATCCAACAGGAAATGCACACACTTTTGCCCCAGGTTGGGCAATTCTGGAGAGCCTGGGAAAGCTCCGGCTAGCCTTACAAACACTGTCAGGCCGGCAGAAGCTGGGGAGAGCGCAAGCTGGGGAGGAAGTGACCCGGTTAGCTCTGGAGTTAGCAGGCCTTGCTCTGTTTATGTTGTGCTGTATGGCTGTAATAAATGCAGCCAGCCAGAGGGCCCCTGGCCTCAGGACCTAGGACTGCACTGGTCTGTGCAAGCCTCCCTAAGATGAAGCTGCCAAGCCAGGAGGAGTTTGAAGCCTCTAGTGCTTCTGAAAATGTACTCGCAGGAGAGCTGGACAGTGGCCCTTGTTCTGGCTCCAGCCCTGATGGCCGCTCAGACACAGACAGGGAACTGGGGGAACCCCAGGACCCTCTACTCTTCATCCAGCTGAATGAGCTGCTGGGCCAGCCCCAGGCACAGCAGTGGAGAGAGACAGGCAGGTGAGTGGGACCCAGGCCAGTTTTATGGGGTCCTTCCCTTCCCCAGCTGGGGCCTCCTCCATGACCCCCAGCTCCTCCTGTGCAGGGGGCACTCTCACTCCCACTCAGAGCTCCTCTCTATGTTCCCAATTTCAGTCTATCACCCTCTATCAGGCTCAGCATCCTCTGCAGTCTAGCTGTGAGTTCCCCAAGACCCCAGCCAAGTGGTGACTGCCCGGGGAGGGGCATGCTCTGCACCACTGGGCCCAGGACTCCCCCACTGCCCTACCTTCCCTGGCTGTCCTGTGTCCCTGGGAGAGATGTCCACAGTAACACTGTCTACCCCAATCCATGCAGGTGGGTGCTGTTTGAGGAGAAGCTGGAGTTGGGTGCAGGCCGGTGGAGCGCCCCCCACGTGCCCACCCTGGCATTGCCCAGCCTCCAGAAGCTCCGCAGCCTGCTAGCTGAAGGCCTCGTGCTGCTGGACTGTCCAGCTCAGAGCTTCCAGGAGCTCGTGGGTATGCTGGGAGCCTTTAAAGAGAGGGGTTGGCAGCCTTACCATTTCCCTAAGATGTCCCCTCAAAGTCTTGGAGTTTTCCAGAGACCCCCTTCCCCCAGGGATTATCCATGTCTGTCACAGGGGCAGGAGGGAGATGAAAAAGCAGAATGGAGAAGCAAGCTCACTGGCCCCTGTGCCCCCTGAGCCTCCCAGAAGGGAAAGGGATCTGGGCAGGGGGAGGGGAAGGGCTGGGGCAGGGAGCTCTCAGGAAAGGGCTGGAGCCCCTCTTCTATTCTCCAGAGCAGGTGACCACGCTGCAGTCGCTGAGCCCAGAGCTGAGAGGGCAGCTGCAGGCCTTGCTGCTGCAGAGACCCCAGCGCCTCAGCCAGCCCAATGGCTCCAGGCCCTGCTGGGGTGAGAGGGCCCTCCCTGGGCCCAGGACCAAAACCTCTGCGGTGGGAGGGTCCTGGATTTCCCCTGCACCTTCCTGGACCAGGAGTGGCCTAGCCTCAGCTCAGACCTCAACCCAGGACTCATGGGCGAGGGGAAGTCGGGGTGAGGAGAGAAGAGAGAAGAATCGGGGCTAGAATCCCAACAGCCATGGCTTTGAAGGGATTTCTCAGTAGGCACTGCTCCAGGAGCTTCACATGTGGTATCTTACTTCATGTTCACAACTACCCTGTGAAGGAGTACCACAGTTATCTCCATCTTACTGATGAGAAACCTGAAGCCCACGGGGGGAAGGGTGTACTCCGGTTTTCATAGCTTGTCAGTGACACAGCTGGTTAGGAAGCCCTGGTAGAACCACCCCCAAAGCCTGTGCTCTTAATCACTGCCTGATCCTGTTTTGAAGGCTCTGCCCCTCCAAGAGAGGCTCCTCATGACAAGGAAGCCCCCCTGAAGGAACAGGTGTGTAGCCCTTGTTTGGGCAGGGCTGGGAGAGAGTCAGAGTTTAACAGAGGCCCACCCTCCGCTGGACTCCCCTGCCAACACAACCTCTCACCCTGTCTCCTTGAACCCGCATCCAGCGTCAGAACCCCCTGAGAAAGAAGCTGCCTCCAGGCGCTGAGGCAGGGGCTGTGCTGACGGGAGAGGTGGGCTTCCTGGCGCAGCCACTGGGGGTGTTTGTACGACTGCAGGATCCAGTGGTGCTGGGGCCCCTCACTGAGGTGCCCCTCTCCAACAGGTGAGGGGGGTCAGGGGTCCCATAGCCCAGAGAAGGACCTCCACTGGGGAGGGGTTGGGAGGTGTCTGGTGCGGTTCTCTGGGGGAGGGAAGATGGGAGGATGGTGCTCAGGGGTCTGGAGAGGGGTAGTTTCAGAGCTGCGAAGTTGGTGTGCACATACTCCAGTATCTACGGCTAGGAAGGCCAGGGATCAGGGCTCTGACTCTCTCTGGGGCCTGGTTCCTTCCTCAGGTTTTTCTGCCTCCTCCTTGGTCCCCCCACACTGGGATGGAGCTACCATGAGATGGGCCGGGCAGTGGCTGTCCTCCTCAGTGACCCGGTGAGCTGGGCAAATGTGTGTGCATGTGTGTGTCTGTGTGCATGCTCATGTGCACAGACTCATGTCAGTGAGTGTGTGTGTGTGGATTCTGTGTGTAACTGAGTACAGCAGTGAGGCAGAGTGTGCCTGTGAACATGAGGCCTGAAGTTTCCTTGACTACCACTGTAGCCCCCTTACCTGGCACTTGCTGGCCCCCAATAGGCAGTTCATACTCTCTGAACACATGCATTAATAAATGAACACTTGAAGGACTTGTCTGGCTGTGTGACTCGGTACATCTAGTTCTGAGAGTGTGAAAATGCACGCAAGTATCCAGATCTGCATTTGTTGCTCCTCCGGGCCCCTCTTCCCAGCAATTCCAGTGGTCAGTTCGTCGGGCCAGCAACCTTCATGACCTTCTGGCAGCACTGGATGCCTTCCTAGAGGAGGTGACAGTGCTCCCTCCAGGTCGTTGGGACCCAACAGCCCGGATTCCCCCTCCTAAACGTCTGCCATCTCATCACAAAAGGTATCTGGGGGTCATCGTCCCGTTTGGTCCCTCCCCACAGGCCTTGGGTCCCGTTCTGCTGTCGAGGAAGGGAGGGCATCTCCGGAAAGGGATGGGGACTTAACCTTTGGATTTGGGGTACGTCGGCAGAGACATTATCAGCCACCAGAGGGCAGGGCGTCTGAACTCTGGCTCCCAGTCGCATTCCGCCTGGAGATCCTCAGTCAACCGGAAATCCCTTCCCTCCAGGCTCCCCTCGCAACTGCGGGAGGCCAGGGGAGCCTCCCTCCAGCCTGGAGCCCCGGCTAAGGACAGGCATGGCCACTGGCCTCACACACCAAGCCCGGAGTTGCAGCGGACGGGCAGGTGAGGTGTGCTGGGGCGGGAGCAAGGGTAGGAGTGACGGGGAAGCTGGAGGCTTGGGGGTTGGGGGTGGTCACAGGGCACAGAGGCCTACACTGTGTCGGAGGCTCACCCAGACACAGGAGAGTGGCGGGGATAAGGGCATGGGTTGTGGGAACCAGGGTCACTGACGACCCGTGGGCGGGAGGCTGTTTGGGGGCCTTGTCCAGGATGTGCGCCGGAAGGCCTCATGGTACACCAGCGACTTCTTGGACGCCCTGCACCCCCAGTGCTTGTCAGCCGTGCTCTACATTTACCTGGCCACCATCACTAACGCCATCACTTTCGGGGGTCTGCTGGGAGAAGCCACCGACGGTGCTCAGGTGGGTGGGAGGCATGAGGGGAGCATGCCCTTAGCCCTTCCCCGGGACTATGGGCAGGCTGAGGAGGCTCCCAGAACCGTGGGTTCCTTGGCTGAGGACCGCATTGGCTTCCAGGGTGTGCTAGAAAGTTTCTTGGGCACGTCAGCGGCTGGAGCTGCCTTCTGCCTGATGGCTGGCCAACCCCTCACCATCCTCAGCAGCACCGGGCCCGTGTTGGTTTTTGAGCGCCTGCTCTTCTCCTTCAGCAGGTAGGAGAGCTCCTCGCCCCACCTGAGCCTCCCCAGGTGCACGTCAGCCTGGCCCTGGCTGGGTCAGTAGGGGAGGATGAGGACTGTCTGCCTCCAGGGGCACCTGACCTGGGTTAAATAAGGAGCAGAGCAACCCTGCCAAGCCCTGCCTGTCTCTCCCCACCAGAGATTACAGCCTGGACTACCTGCCCTTCCGCCTGTGGGTGGGCATCTGGGTGGCCACCTTTTGCCTGGCTCTGGTGGCCACGGAGGCCAGCGTGCTGGTGCGCTACTTCACCCGCTTCACGGAGGAAGGCTTCTGTGCTCTCATCAGCCTCATCTTCATCCACGATGCTGTGGGCAAAATGCTGAGTTTGACCCGTGCCTATCCCATCCAGAGGCCTGGCTCTCTTGCCTATGGCTGCTTCTGCCAGTACCCAGACCCAGGAGGTGAGTGAAGGAATCAGGGGGTTTGGCAAGCTGGGGTGGGCTGCAGGAGGGGTTACTCACCCAGTAACCAGCAGCACTCTTCCCCACTCTTGCTTCTGGATCAATTAAGAAATAAATCAACAGAGCAGGCCCAGTATCATCTTTATTTCTGATAATGCCGATAGAAGAACATGGTTATATATCTCTGGGTGAATGGGCTTCTTAACAACGAAACCAAAATTGGACAGACTTACCCAGCCAGTCGTGGCTGCACAGGACAGGACCGTCTTGGCCCAGGGCAGCAGAGCTAATTGCACAGTGCAGGCAGCTTACTCCCCAGAGAGGGGAGACGAAGGCCAGGGCCAGGCATGCCCAGCTTCTTCTCCCAGACTCACCAATCAAATGAATCACTGCTCTTCCCCTGCATCTGAGTGACTGGCCGACTGGTGGAGAGAAGCTTGGAGTGTTGCGCTGGCACGTATCTTTCCACATGGAAGGCAACAGTAGGACTGGGGAAGACATGGCCTCTCAAGAGTGCCAGACTCTGGGCTGGCAGTTCTGCCCCTGGTGGGGACCCACAGATGCATGTGCTCATCTATTGAGCAAACGTTTCCTGGCGTCTGCTCTCAGCCACACGGATAGGTGAGGAATTTGAAGGGACAAGAATGTGAGACCGTGTCCTGGGGACTTGGTAGTGATCGGAATCAGCAGACAGGAAGTCAGAACTAAGAACTCTCTGGTTCAGCCAGACCTGTGAGATTAGGCCCCTGAGGGGCTGGAGAAGGTTCCCAGAGGCAGGGCATCCACCCAAGTTCTTCTCTGCTTCCCAGGAAATGAGTCTCGGTGGACAAGGACAAAGCCAAAAGACAGAGATGACAGCTTAAGCTTGGTGAGGGCCTGTTCCTGGGAAGGCCTGGGAAAGAAACGGTAGAGGCCCAAGAAGTCAGTGGCGCCTGGCTTTCCCCACCCCACAGGCTAGGAAAACCCTCACAGAAGCCCAGCCATCTGCCACAGCTCGAGACCCCTATACTGGCCCTCAGTGAATCCGTGCGCATCAGCGAACGCTTATTCCGCCACCTGTAACCCCATCCCTGGCCACCCCTCCACGCAGGACCTAGGCCTGGTCAATGCATCCTTGCTGCCCCCACCTGAGTGTGCCCGGCGGGGAGGCCACCCTCGTGGCCCTGGCTGTCCTACGGTCCCAGACATCGCCTTCTCCTCCCTCCTCTTCCTTTCCTCCTTCCTCTTTGCTCTGGCTCTCAAGCATGTCAAGACCAGCCACTTCTTCCCCTCTGTGGTGAGTGTCCCTTCCCTTTCTGTGGAAGAGAACTGGCCCTTGGCCTTGGGCCCTGTCTGTGAATGGGAAAGGGTGCAGAAGGAGGGGATAGCGGGTCGGAACCTCACTGAGCGTCCCCTGTGTGGCCAGGTGCGCAAGGTGCTCAGCGACTTCTCCTCAGTCCTGGCTATTCTGCTGGGCTGTGGCCTCGATGCCGTCCTGGGCCTAGCCACTCCGAAGCTCACGGTGCCCAGAGAGTTCAAGGTGAGAGCTGGGAGTGTCGCGCAGAGGGAGAAGGGGGGCCAGCAGACAGGACCCGGGAGGAGGATGTATGCATCCCACCATTCTCCTCCTCTAAGTTTCCGTCTCCTCGCTCATAAAATAGAAGTAGTAATAATGGCCTCCCTGAGTTGTGAGGGTTAATGAAGTGCTGCTCCAGACACATAATGAGCACAGAATACTCAGGAGCTGTTATTATAGGTAAGAGGATGGGTTCTGGTCAGCCAGTCCTAGCTTTGAGTTCCAGTTCTGCCACTTCCTAGCTGTGTGACCTTAGGCAAGTTAGCCCACATTTCTAAGCCTCAGTTTATTCATCTATAAAATGGAAATAAATAACAATTGCTCCTACTCATAGGTTGTTCTGAGGTTCACAGATCATAGTGTACAGAATTTATCACAGGGACTGGCACATAAAGAGACCTCAACAACCATGAGATATTGTTGTCCTAGCCTCTCCTGCCTTTGGCATGGCCCCACCCACTCCACGAAGCCCCACTCTCTCCTTGTGCCCCCAGCTGCCTGCTCGGATCCAGTGAAGCTGGACTCCCTCCCTAGGGCATGACAGGGCAGAAGACAAGGCTTAGCATAACTTAGTGCCTGCACTTCTCCTGTGCATTTGGAAACCTCCCCTCCAGCTTCCCCCAAGACAGGAGAGCAGGGGTACTCCAACTGGGGCAGGCCCAGGGGCTCAGAACCAGAGAGCCCCTGGGGCCCCCTCCCCCCACGGCGCTTGTAATCAGAGCAGACGCAGACACACCCAGCCCTGCCCCTGCCCCAGATCAAGGCAAGTCTGAGCCTGAGTTGCCCAACCCTGGATGGTGCAGGGGTGCTGAGAGGGGAGGGCTCTGTACACCAAGAAGTATGGGCAGGCCTCATCTACCACCTCCTCCTCCTGTAGGGAAGGAAGGATCCCAGAACCAAAGCCCAGAGCCCCTGGCTCTGGCTCAATCCTGAGGCTGCTCCCCTGCCTTCCGCCCTCTTTTAAGGCACTAGGATGCTTTGAACCAGCTGTGCCCACACACACACTGCCCCACCTAGCATCCAGGATCTTGGAATGTGGTTGGCAGGTAAAAGGGTTATGGAAGAACGCCAAGGTCAGGGTGTGCAAGCGAGGTGCTCTAGGAAGACCCCCCCAACCTGTCCATGGAATGCCCTTTCCTAGCCAACACTCCCTGGGCGTGGCTGGCTGGTGTCACCTTTTGGAGCCAACCCCTGGTGGCTGAGTGTGGCAGCCGCTTTGCCTGCCCTGCTGCTGTCTATCCTCATCTTCATGGACCAGCAGATCACGGCAGTCATCCTCAACCGTGATGAACACAGACTTCGGGTAAGGCCTGCGGGTTAGGACTCCAGGACCCTAGACCAAGGGACAGAAGCTCCAGGGTGGGGGCCAGGCCCCCGCTCTCCCACCCCAGAGGACACAGGGCCCAGGCCTGGGCCAGCTTCCCCGTCACTGTCGCACCACTGCCTGCAGAAGGGTGCCGGCTTCCACCTGGACCTCTTCTGTGTGGCCGTGCTGCTGCTGCTCGCGTCAGCGCTTGGGCTGCCCTGGTGTGTCTCGGCCACCGTCATCTCCCTGGCCCACATGGACAGTCTTCGGAGAGAGGGCAGAACCTGTGCCCCGGGAGAGCCTCTCAGCTTCCTGGGCATCAGGTGAGGCCAGTGTTCAGGATGCTGGAGTGAGAGATGGCCAGCAAGGTGGGGTGATGGGGTGAAAGAGCTTTTTGGGTAGTTTAAACTCAGAGCTGGTGACTTCAGAGGGCTCTCTCACTGCTCAGGGAGCCAGTGGGGTGCATGGTGGCTTCTGGGCTCTGAGATGGGTGTGTCAGATCTTTCCCTCTCCTCCTTAAGCCAGAACTGGAAAGGCCCTCAAGAGGAGCATCTCAGTATGAGGGTAGAGGGAGGGGGCGCTGAGCAAGGTGAGGTGCCACCTAAGAATCCCCCCTCACTGCAGAAGCAACTCACTGATGTTACAAACTTAACCTTATCAAAAACAATTTTGTAACTTGGAAAAAACAATCTAACCATTGAAAGTATGTGAAATCAGGTTTGCAAATTGTGAAGTATAAAGTCCTATGACAATGCAAACATTTCTAATTTTCCATCAAAATAAAAGCAAAGAGCAACTATTAGCTGGCACCATGCAGAGGCCTGGAACTCCATATGGAAGTCCCCTTTGCCCTCCTCACCACCGATTTTTCCTCACTGAGCTAAGGTCCCCTTCCTACCACGTGACTGCAGGGGAGTCCCCCCACTTCCCTCCTACCAGGCTCATTGATGCTGTCTGGCCAGTGTCTCCAGCCTAGACGCCCCAGCAGTTCTCCCAGACCCTGGCTAATACCTCCCTCTCCTCACAGGGAGCAGAGGTTGACGGGCCTCGTGGTGTTCATCCTCACAGGAATCTCCATCTTCCTGGCACCTGTACTCAAGGTACCTTTGTTAGACAGGCCGCCGTCACGGGCAGGGCTATACTATTAATCAGTATAGTAAGAACTGACACTGGCTGAACACTTATTGTGAGCCAGGCACTGTATTAAGTTTTCTCCACACCTGGTTTCATGTAACCCTCACATAAACCCTGAGAGGCATATGTACATTACAAATGAAGAACCTGAAAGGTAAAGAGGTTAAGTAGCTTACAAGAAACCACCAAGAGAGCTAGTTTCTCAGATCCAAGAACACAGACTCTTAATCAGTGGGCTTTCTACCCAGTGGAGCAGGCGGACATGCCACCATCCCCAGGGACCAATGCTACCCTTGCTTCGGCCTCCCAACAAGCCTTAAGCTAAGAGCATGATCACCACACCCCAGAAAAACTTTGAGGCAAAAACCCTTCACTTGCCCCTCACCAGATGTTTACAGAACACCTGTTGTGTGCAGGGCTGGAAGACGTGGTCCAGATGGGGGTGGGTGGGGAGGAGAACTGAAAAGTAATATGGAGCCAAGCCCCTACAGCAATACACACACAGACACAGGGTAAGTAACAAGTAATAGCAGAAAGGTTCACAAGCTAAGAAGCAAAGCAACCAAGGAGGGTGTGGAGAACGTCACACAGTCACTAACAGGGGGAAGAAAGAGGTCAGGGGAGGGAAAGGTCACGGAAGCTGGGTGAGAGTGGAGTAGGGTAGCTGAAAGAGCCAGACGGACCGGATCGACCACTTACTAACTCGGAGACTCTCATTTAGCAGCCTTTTACTGAGCATGAGCCATATGCCAAGCCCTGTTCCAGGGACCGGGGAGATAGTGGTGATCCAGAGATATATACACTCCTTGCAATCTGGTGAGAGAAGACAGACAACAATAAAATAGGGTAACTTCAGGTAGCGAAAACTTCTATGAAAAACAACTCAGCTGATTAAGAGCACAAAGAGTCTACTTAGATTGGATAGTCAGGGAAGACCTTTCTGGGGGTGCTATGAGATGAGTAGTGAGAAGCGTGACTTGAGGAAGTCAGGGAAGAGCCTTTTAGGTGGAGGAAAATAGCAGAGAAAGGGCAGAAGCAAAGCAAAGGCCTTGCACGGGGTAGAAATAAACTTGGGCATTTGAGGGAAGGGAAGGAGGCCAGTGTAGCAGGAACAGAGAGCAGAGAGAAGGGTGATGCGGAAGACTGAAGAGGCAGGCCAGGCGACGGCAAGTTACTGAGTCTCTGTGAAGTCCAGTTGCCTTCCTGTAAAATGGAGACTATTATAGAGTTCACCTCCTCTGATCACTGCGAAGATTCAATGCAATTAGGTGTGCAAAGTGGAAAAAGAAAAGACTAGGTAGGCTTAGATGCTGGAGGCTGGAGGCTGGGGCTGGACCCCAAAGGGGCATCTGGGCAGCTGGAAGAGGTGAACTCCTTCACCAGCTCTCCGTTCCTTTCCACCAGTTCATCCCCATGCCTGTGCTCTACGGCATCTTCCTGTACATGGGCGTGGCAGCGATTAGCAGCATCCAGGTGAGCACATTAAAACCGATCAACCCCACACCTCTTCTTTTCTGCGGGTTCCTCCCAACTGCACTCCCCGATTCTCCTCTTCCCTTTTCCTGCCTCTCTTGGGTGCAGGGACTCTGTTGCTGTGCTCTGGATGGGGAGGGGGCCAGGGAGGCTTCTGACCTCCTCCCATGCTGGGCTTGCATAGTTAACAGTGACACCCTCCAGGTTATTCCTGCTTTTCTCATTCCCCCCAGTTCACAAAGAGGGTGCAGCTATTACTGATGCCAGCGAAACACCAGCCAGACCTCCTGCTCTTACGGCATGTGCCTCTGAGCAGGATCCACCTCTTCACAGCCGTCCAGCTTGCCTGCCTGGGGCTGCTTTGGATAATCAAGTCTACCTCTGCAGCCATCATCTTCCCCCTCATGGTGACTTGGTTCAGGGTTGGGCGGTGTTCTGGGGGGTCCTGGGAGACTCAGAGTCTGGGAGAGTGACCTAGACCTTCACAAGAGGAAGACTCTCCCCTCTCTCACCTGCCATGACCCTACCTGGTTGGGAATCGTAGGACAAAGAAAGATGGCCAAGGGATGCCTACAGATGGGCTAGTTCTGGGATACCCAGTTCAACATCTTCCCCAACTTCATTGGGCTCTTCAACCACAGGTAGGGATAGAAAGTCCAGAAGAACACTGAGTCCCTGGAGAGGAGTGCTGGCATTTTTTCATCACTCAGTGAGGTGATGACACAGGTGGCTTCTGGCCCTCTCCCTACTCCCTGAATAAGTTAAGAGCCATGGACTTTGCAGTAGGATCAGTGTCATTACCATATCCCAGCCTGGTGAGACTTCTGAGAAGTTACTGAATCCTCAGAGCCTTGGTTTCCTTCTCTGTACAATGGTAATAACCATTGCATCTACCTTGTAGCAGTATGTTAGCATTTGATGAAACGATACACAGTACCCAGCACATAGGAAGTGCTCAATAAATGTTACTGTTGTTCATATTCCTGCTGCTGGTGCTAACAGCCCTGAGCTTTGTTTCTGTCCCTGCAGTTGCTGGGCCTGGTGGGGGTCCGAAAGGCCCTGGAGTGGGTCTTTTCACCACAGGAACTCCTATGGCTGGATGAGCCGATGCCAGGGGAGAGAAGCATCCCTGAGAAGGGGCTGGAGCCAGAGTATTCACTTCGTGGAAGTGACAGTGAGGATGTGAGCTCCGGGTGGGCCCCCTCAGGAGAAGGGGCAGGTGTGGGGAGCGCGCTCTCGCCCTGTTGTTCCTGAAGTCTAATATCTCTACAAAGCCTGAAGCTGTGAGCAGCACAGTCAGTCCTCTCAGCTCCACATTGACGCGGGCACCCTGAGGAAGAGAGGGAGCTCTTTCTCCATAGGGCAGGGGCCCCAGTTTGTGAGTGCTTAGGGGCAGGAAGGGCCGGAGACACAGCTCAGTGGGCTGTCGTTCCCCACCCTGAGCTTTGTCTCCGTGCAAGTGTATAACCTTTCACTCTCTGGGTACCTTTCTCTCGGCTCTGTCTCTTTCTGTCCATCCTCAACTCTTTCTGGGGTATCTCTTCTACAGTCGGAGCTGATGTATCGGCCGAAGTCTCCAGAAATCAACATCTCTGTGAATTAGCTGGAGGAGGAGGAGTCTGGGAGTAGACCAGAAAGCCGAGCCAGAGGTGAGGGTGTGGGGGAAGTGCCCCTGGCGTCGAGGTTGGGAAGGTGGGGGCTCAGACCTTGGAAACCTCCAGTGTGCCGACCAACCCTGTTTTCCCTCAAGTGTCAGTCCTTCTGGAAGTCCGGAGTGGGCTGTGGGTAGTAGGAAGGTCTCTGCGGAGGGATGACCCCTGCCAGGGCGCCTGGGCTTGGCTCCCTGCGGCACTGAAGTCTAGCCAGTAGAGGGAGCTCAAGCTCACACCCAGCTGCGGGTGGACCTGCGGGGTGGGGAACGGAGGGGTGTGAAGACTGAAGACGGGAGGGAGGGGGGAGGATAAAGCTGGTGTTGCTCTCCTTTGCCCTGGAGGGGTCCCCCCTATGCTGCTGAGAACCACACTCGAGACAAGTGGAGGGAATATCTGCCCGTTGCCTTCTCTGCCATTCTTTATTTATGAAAACATTTTTTGAGTACTTATAATAGAGTGTCTAGGTACTAGAGATACAATGGTCAGTAAGAGTCGTGGTCCCTGACGAACAGGAAGACAAGCAGGCAGCTGTTGGAGTAGGAGGGTGCTGGCTAAAGGAGGCACACCTTTCCTGGAGGTGGTGAAGGTGGGGTGGGAGTTGGGGAAGACTTCCAAGAGGCAGTGGTCCAAAATTTGAAATCTGAAGAATGAATAGAAGCTTTCCCAAGAGAGGAAAAATGTTCTAGGCAGAGGGTGCAGCATGTGGATTTTTCCTCCCTTGATAAGCTGAATTTTCTTTTGGGACACAGAACACCCTCTTCTCTATGTCTTTCCAAGCTCAAGAGACCCCACCATTTGCAATAGAAAATTCTAGGAGCTAGAGAGAGAAAGGGCAATTCACTGGCTGACCCAGAATGAGACTTCCTGGTCTTTCCTCTGCTCTCTTCTTTGCCCTACTGTGGCCCTGAGCACCTGCTCTGACCACACCATGTCTTCCCTCAGTTCACAGGGGTTCACTCAAGAAGTCAAGACAGTACTGGCCTTTGGCTTAACTGCCAGATGCTCAGTCACCTTGGAACCTGGAAGAATGGGGCAGGACTGGAGGGCAGCTGGCCAAGATTTCAGTCACCCTCCTGAGCTGGGGGTGCAGAGTGGCAGGGAACAAGCAGGTTTGCTTTGTGGTTAGGAAAGGCTGGTAAGCCAGAGGTACTAGCCAGGCCCCATTCACTCTCTACCCCATTAAAGGGACTTGAGTCCAAAAACCCTTCCCATTTTGAACTTTCTGTCCTCACAAATTCCCTTTTACAGAATCACAGTGGGGGAAGGGGAGCGCCATCAGGGAACATGTCTCAGCTTGCAAAAGGGAGAAAAAGTCCCTCTTTCCAGAGTAATTCCTATTCCCCTATTTGAAACAGTTTTTTACACATGTAAAAATAATCTTTCTTTTTTTACCACAAAAGTAAATGAGATTACTGCGAAATATTGAAACACTACAGAAACATATAATTTTGAAATGGAAACCACCCAAGAGATAACCTGTGTTCACATTTTAGTGTATATTGTTCAGATTTATTTCAATGGACATTAATTTTTTATTAAAGTGGGATTATACTGTTGATTGTACTACAACATGCGTGTCACTTAATATGCATTGTTTATTTCCTCATGGCAGTACATACTTAATGACCTCATTCTTTTTGTCACCTACTTAGAATGAGCAACCTTATAAATTGAAAAAGGTATCAACATATACAAAAGACTATGTAAAAGTCTTCTGCAAGTGCAAGAATTTCTCCAGAGTATATACCTAGGAGTGCAATTAAAAAGCAACAGTGAAAAGAACACCTATGTATCCAACACTCAGGTTAAGAAATAGGATCTTTCTAGTACCTCACAAGCCCCTCTCTATGTTCCTCCCAGATAGCATTCCCAGTACCAGATAAATTATCCAAATTTTATAGTAAATATTTCCTTGCTTTTCTCTATAGTGTTAATATCTATTTAGTTATCCTATATATTTATTACTTTGTTTCTATAAATTACTATAAATAATAGTCGATTATAAGAAATATATACTGAAAGTATTTAAACAGGTAATTTTACTCATTTTACTTAGATATTTTACTTATTTCAACAGCATTTGCATATTGTTGAGAATATCTTAATTTAGACTTAAACATTCAACAAATACTTACCGAATCCATCGACAATGTCCTGTCAGATCAGGTTTCTGACTTCACAGAGTTTATGTAATAGTGAAGGAGAACAAAAAATAAGATCATCTCAGATAACAGCAAGTGCTCTGAAGAAAATAAAAAAGGGTAATATGATAGGGACTGGGAGAAGATATTCCTTAAGACGGATGTTCAGGGAAGCTTCTCCTGGAGGTGACCTTTAAGCTGAGACCCGAGTATCAAAGATTCAGCCAAATCATCCGCCTACAGTTACGGTATATACACGTAAACATACACATGAATTTAAATGCTCTACAGTCCCCAGATTGGGAGCCACTGTCATAAAGATTTTGAGGTCAGTTCTGGCTTCAAACTTAGCCCTTAGCTTGCTCTGTTCAGGCCATAAGAGCCTGAGATATTCCTTTCCTGGCTGTAACCCACAGACTTCAGTTTTCTGTCAGTAAAATGGGGCCAAGAGTCTGACTTCTAGGGTGCTGCAAGGGTTAACTGACATTCTTTAAGATCTTTAGATGAAAGACTCAGGGCTGTATAGAGAGTTACTAGACCCTCCCAAGCCCCAGGAAAAATCTCTCCGTTTCAGTAACCTAGGTACTCTCCAGACAGTAGCTGGTTCTCAAACCTTTGTGGGCATTAGAATCAAAGGTTGTTATAATGTGAATTCCTGGGCTCTCTGAGGTTCTGATTCTCCCCAAGGTTCTGGATTCTTGTCTTCTTAGTTCCGTAGCCTTCTGTCCCTTTGTCCAGTGCCTCATGCTTCTCAACACTGTAGCTTTTTGTCTTTGCCAATGGACCTGCATATGCACTTGTCCATACATACTATAACCAGAGACACCTTTGGTCATTTTTCCTGAGAATAATCCAGAGCAGAGATGGGGGAGGCAGGCATGTGTCTGTATCTACTCCTGAAATGTAGACAAATGTTAGGAGGAGGATCTGGGGAAAATCACTGAATAAAAGGAGGGAGGAATTGCTGACTGCTACAAAATGGGAGAAGGTGAGTCCAAGAAAAGCAATCCTGGTTTGAGGACCAGTTCCTGGTGCTAAATCCCACTACAGGGGCTGTCCAGGGCTTGACTGATCAATTCATTCATTCAACAAATATGTATATATTAAATATCTATTATAGGTTATGTTGTTCTATGTGTAGGAATTCAGTGTTAAATAAGACAAGATCTCTGCTCTCCTGGAGTCTTCATTCTAGTTGGGGGAGATGGAAAATAAATATAACAATATATACATGAGACTGTCTCAAGAGCAGAAGTGCGAGAATACAAGCTAATGTGATAAAGGGGAAGGGTTTGTGGGTAACTACTTTGGATGGGGGTTAGTGAGGGCCTCTCTGTGAGGATAACATTTGCGCAGAGATCTTAATGACAGAAAGAAGTCAACCCTGGGAACGGGAGAGGGAGTGCAGGGGAAGCATTTTTGGCAAAGGGAATGTCAATGGAAAGGCCCTTGGGCAGGAAGAACTTCAGAATGCTTGAGAAACTTAAAGAAGGCCCATATTGCTAAAGTGGTGGAATGAGGGAAAGAACACTGCAAGATGAGGTTGAAGAGGATGAGGATTAGGGCTGCAGGCTCCTAACGGATACCATGAAAGAAGCAGTGTGGGTGAGGCATTATACTCTGGGGTAAGAATAGTAAGGGCCAACCCAGAATAGTCAAATTACAGGACTCACACTATATGATTTTAAAACTTACTTCAAAGCTACATTAAGTAAGATAGTGTGGTACTGGCATAAGGAAAGACACAGAATTGACATGGTCCAGAAATAAACTCTCACACTTGGCCAGTTAATTTTTTTGAATTGAAGTATAGTTGATTTACAATACTGTATTGGTTTCAAGTCTACAATACAATGGTTCAACAGGTATAATAAGTCCTCACCCCAACTAGTGCAGTTACTGTCTGTCAACTTAGATGTTAGAGAGCTGTTGACTATACTCTCCCTGCTGCACTTACACCCCCGTGACCAACTTTTATTATGATTGAGAGTTTTGTGCTCCTTTATCTGCTTTCCCCTCTCTACCCATCCCTCCCCCTCCCCCTTGGTAACTACCAGTCATTCTCAATGTCTATGAGTCTACTGCTGTTTTATTCATTTTGGTTTTTTTTCAGATTCCACAAGTGAAATCCTGTGGTATTTGTCTTTCTCTGACTGGTTTATTTCACTTAGCAAAATGTCCTTTAGATCCATCCATGTTTTCATAAGTGGCAGGATTCCCTTCTTTCTTATGGCTGAATAATATTCTGTTGTGTGTATGTACCATCTTTATCCATTCACCTACTGATGGACACTTTGGTTGCTTCTTCATCTTGACTATTGTAAATAATGGGGAAATAAACATAGAGGTGCATGTATCTTTTCAAATCAGAGATATTGTTTTCTTTGGGTAAATTCCAAGAAGTGCAGTTATTGGGTCATAAGGTATTTCTATTTTTAGTTTTTTGAGGAACCTTCATACTGCTTTCCATGGTGACTGCACCAATTTACATTCCCACCAACAGTGTAGGAGGGTCCCTTTCCTCTACATCCTCACCAACACTTGTTATTTCCTGTCTATTTCTTGTCTTTTGGGTAGTGCCCATTCTGACTGGTGTGAGGTGATATCTCATTGTGGCTTTGATTTGCATTTCCCTGGTGATTAGTGATGTGGGGCATCTTTTCTTGTGCCTGTTGGCCATCTGTATTTCTTCTTTGGAAAAATGTCTGTTCAGGTCCTCTGCCCATTTTTTAATCAGGTTGTTTGCTTTTTGGTGTTGAGTCATATGAGTTCTTTATGTATTTGGGATGTTAACCCCTTATCAGAGAAATCATTTATGAATATATTCTCCCATACTGTAGGTTTACTTTTTGTTCT